AAAATACTGTCCTTTTACTATAAAACTCAGACTATTATCTAACACTTTCACTTACCTCGTGCCACATCTCCACGCCTTTTTCAACATTACACGGTCAGCGATTGTGACATAGCGACAGACTCGCCATTATAACCCCCAATAATATAATATTGTTATAAAATCCTTTTGATATTAGTTAGATATAGATATATAAATAAGCTAGTATTTAATTTGTTATATATTTTGTACTCAAAAGATGTTTTTTTTTTTAATAAATATTAAATGTAAAATTTTTATTAAACTTTTATTTATTATCAATATAATAAGAATTTTTATATACTTTATAAGTATTAATAGTAAGAAAAATATATAATATTTGGATTTTTAATTGTAATATAAACCTGTATAACTATATAGCCAAAGAGAATATAAATTTTTTTTTTTTTTTAATTCAACCAGCTGGGCCTTGCCTAGTGTACTTTATTATTTTATTCACATATGTAATTTATGTATTACAAGAACTACTATCTATAAATAATTCTATGCATCACTAGACTATATCAGACCTACTCCATATCAGCTTGTTGCTGTCAGCGTCACTCCAGAAGGGTTGTACTGAAGCTAACGTGCCAAAGTCCCATTAGCGTTATTATTATATCATTATGTTCTATTTGACACTGTGTGAATTTAAAGAGGAAGTTTGAATGTAGGGAACTGGGGGTAATACCTATTTTTGATGAATAGAACTACTGTAGAGAGAATTTTTCTAGATCCAACCACCTGCAGATAGGCATACCATTTAATTTTTATCTTTCTAGAGCTACTCAAGAATGTTTAAGGAACTTATCTCACAGATTTACAACCCATAGATTGTTTCAGTTATCTGTACTTATTGCTGTTTTGGCTGCCTTTTTGAGATAGGTAACTGTCAGAGTGATCTATTACTGGATTGGAATAAGGTCTTTCTGGAAACTTGCAGAAAGAGATACCAGGTACTACAGGAAAACGATCACCAAGCCATCTTTACTGAAAGCAGATATCTTATATACCTTACAACTCCGGCGATCATTGTAACACCAACTGGACAATCATTGCACCATGACACCTTTTCTGGAAATCACAATCTCAACACTCGTTAGATCAGTGTGTAATACAGTTTCTCATGAAAAACAGTGCTTATATAGGTTATGGCACCAGATATCATATTAATTCTATTCAACTGCCCTTATATGAGATTGAATTGGTATCTTGTGATTTGACTTGTGGAGTGTTAACCACTATACTATAGACCCACAGGTCTCGTCAAAGAGAATATAAATAAGAATTAATAATCTTGCTTATATTAATAATCAAGAAATATTGTTTTTTTTGTCAATATATATAACTTTATAAGTATAATATTATAAATAAAAATTACAATTTTTATTTGAATATAAATAATTTATAAATTAGATATAAATCAAATCAAAGTTTTAATTTTTAAATCCAATTGAATATAAATTGAATTTGGATTATATATAATTTGATCTATATAAATTATTAAATAATTATTTAATTTTATTTAAATAGAACTAACTAAAAAATTAAAATAAAAAATCTATCTATTTTAATTAATATATAAAAGATTATATTAAAAAAATTTAATATTTGTTTTTTTTATTTTTTTAAAAATTTTTTAACAATTTTTAATGAGCTTTATATATTGGCAAAAAAAATTTTTAAGTTATTTTAGTGCTATAAATTTATGTTTAATTGTTTTAATTAATCTAGCTTATTATTTAACAATTCAAATATTTTTTAAAAATAAAATATGAAAATTTATCTAACAACATATAATACTTATATAAAGAAAGTAGTAGTTTAATAAGTTTTGATAATAATAATAATAATAATATTGATACAAGTAATCCATTAAAATGTGTTTTAATTTTTTAATTTTTTTTTTTTAAGGTAAATGGTGCGTGCAGCATATGATTTATTAATTGAGTTGTTATATTCAATCTACATTAAGCTACAAAGGTCCATTTAAGTTAACCTAGCTCCGCCACCTATATTAAACTCAACAACATGATATGTATTTTTAAAGTGAATTATGTTTTTTGAAGGGAACCTATTTAGGGAGTGAAAATCCTACCACTAATTTTAAACCACCCAACCTATCAGTTCATGCTTGTGTTTGGACAGGATATGTTAATGGAACCGGCTCGAGATATCTTGAGTCTTCTTCACCTAATTAGGCTAGAACCGATTATGGAAGAGGAGAAACTTTATTGTCAATCGGAATTGGTTAGAATGGAATACAGCCCAGTCTGTACATCCAAATGTGTCATGTCCCTTTAAACCAATGATCATCATAGCACCAACCAGACGATTGTTACGCCATTGCACCTTTTGTAGAGGTCACAATTTCAACACTTGCTAGATCAGCGTGTGAACTGGTTTTCTATGAGAAACAGTGTATTTCAGGTTATGGCACCAGATATCATATTAATTCTATTCAACTGCCTTCACATGGAGTTGAACTGGTATCTTGTGATCTGACCTGTGGAGTACTAACCACTGTACTATAGACCCACAGATCTAAAATGTGTTTTAATTAAATCAATAATTTTTTTTATTGATTATAAATATTAAGTATGAGACTTTTATTAATAATTAATACTTTACCATTATATAAAATATCTTTACAAGTTAGATTATTGCTATACCAAATATAAATTAATATTATTTAATAAATATCATTTTCAATAATACATGCTACTATATAAGTTATATATTTATCTAATTATATTAAAAATAATCAAAAAAATTTTTAAGGTTATTAAGACAATAACTTTTTAAGAAAAGGAGAATATAATAATATAAATAATAATATAAATAACTTATGAATCTATAATGATATACTAATATGTAGACATATTTTATAATAAGTAATATTGACAATAGTAACTTGTGGCTTTATATAATGTTATCAATATTATATTGTACAATGTTTATATAATCTTGATAATATTTTGCTTTATATCAAGGATGCCAGTTCCACAGGTGGTGAAAATAGTAGTGTCACATTACGCTAGTGATACATCCTGAGGATCGGTGATAACAGTGACTGGAATACTGGTGTTAATCTCTATAATAATATTCCATAATGTGCTCCACCCACGACGAATGCAGTCAAGACAGGACCTAGTAGGAAGGTGGTTTAAACTAGTAGTAGGATTTCCACCCCCTATGTAAGTCCCACCTGGCATATGAATCATCTACTTGATGTTTAAAATTTCGTATAGCTGGGTATGTCAAAGTTGGTCTAGGGAAACCGGGGTTACTGGAAACGGTAATTATCAGGTAACATTAACTTACATTTAGGATAGCAATAGCCTAGTTTGTAAAGATGTTTGATGTAATGACGATGAATAATTTCAATAAATGTCTCGCATCTAATGCCCTTAGCCAAAAAAAAAAAAAAAAAATATAATTAATTAGTGATAATAAAATATTGTATACAATACCAAAAATGAAAAATTTTATATTACTCATTGCCTTCCAATTTTGGAATCCAATGACGTAATGAGGCATTAATTCAAACTCACGTGATATAGTCTCAATACTTGGTACGTACAACGCCGCCAAAAGAAATCTGACCTTCCCCTGACTTCAAATTTCAAATTAATAACAGTTCAGACAACCACAAAGACCGTCAGAGCATTTTGGTTGACCAAAAACTGGTAGACACTTCTCTTTGTATTATTAAGGTAACCTACTGTGAATGTCAATTCTCGAGTCACCGCTATACAAAAAAAAGAGAAAATGAAGACATTTTCATTCTGTTTTGTTGCTTTCAAGTATCAGAATGGAGCCAACTCCTTCTTCAACACAAGAAGAAATACCTTCTGGTGATATTGCAGTGAATACTACATCAGGATATGGCACCACTCGATCTCCATCTGTGACTACCTATCGTTGTCCTACATTGACCGCTTTCCTTCAACAGTTAAATTTAACGCAATATCACAATTGCTTTGTTGAGGTCGCCGGTGTTGGTGAAAATGATCTTGAACAGTTTCTTGGTTTTGACGAAGCGGAAATCAAAGAGGTTTTATCCTCGGTGTCCATGAAGCCTTTTCATTCAGCAGCTTTTAAAAAAGGAATAAGAGAACTCAGACAGGCGCTCTCGACGAATCTCAACACTCCTGGCTTGGTGCCAAGTCTTTCAACCAATGTATACTCGGTGCCATCGGTATATCATGCAAATTTATTACAGGTTCGAATTGAAATGATTCCAGGATGATATATACCAATGGAAATTAATATATTTTTTTTTTTTACTCAGGTGCGTGAGCACAGCAACCCAGAAAGTCTAATTTCTGGAAAGATTTTACTAAAAACAGAGAAACCGCCATTCTCGACGAGGGAAAATACCCCAATTCGTTCCTTAGACACCTCTCAGATAAAACCTTCACCTGTGACGTCGCGAATTTCACTTAATATAACGAATGATGAGACAACGACCCCATCTCCATCCATCCATTCCCCTTCACCAATGCAAGAAATTCAAGATGCACTCGGTCATTCCACGACATTACAACAACAAATCATCAAAGAATGTCCTGCATCACCGCTCTCATCAAGTTCGGTTACCTGCGATAATGACAATAGTAATGACAATCCCACAATTAATGTAGCAGCTTCAAAGGATGTAATTATACATCATGCAATAATTTACGGTAAAAATAGTAATAGGCAACTGACATCGTACGAACAGGCCATTAACCGAGCAGCTACAGAATTGGCACTTTCAGATCCCACGTTGGTAGCAAACAAAGGTGCCTTGTTTGAGAAAGCAAAGGCCAAACTTTTATCAGAAGGTTATACTTATAAACGAGGTCAATCACGGTCAAAATTGAATCCAAATGCACCAAAACCAGGGATGAAAACATCGCGGGCGAATCTTCGATTAAAACGAAATCAGCATGCAGCTCAGACGAGCGAAAACCGTATCGCTCGTATTACGGAACTAGAACGTAAATTGCAAAGTAAGGAAAATCAATATGAAATTGCGCAAGAATTAAAACGCGTTAAAGCAGCTCAAGGTGACACAGAGGGATTGGAAAAAGCAGAAATGGCCTTAGAAGAATTAGAACGAGAGCGAAATGAAATTACCAAAGAGATAGCAAGTTTAAAAAGTAAGGAACGTAAGCATCGTTGGTATGAACAAAGGAAAAAGGAAAGGATGGATTCTGGATTTGGAGAAAACGAACTGGATACAGATATTCAGCAGGAAGACCTCATAATAGAAAATCAATGATTTATATGCAACTCGGTATTTATTTAATATTCACGTGGAACTTTTTATCCCATTAATATCTAATTGATGGGAAGTTGATTTGCTAGACAAAAACTTTGCTTGTAATACAAGATCTTAATAATTCGAGTTCCTTCATTTTTTCATAATGAATCCCCATCCATTAAAACCGAATCCTATTCAATGAGGTCTCTTGAATAAAGAGCCCGTTTCGCCAAGTTGTATATAAGATGTTTAGTTTAGCATTTGAAATTCTATGGCACTGCATACAACAACATTAAATGAAAGGTTTCCTGTTAAATGAGTGACAAGGAAAAAGTGGAGAATGAGCTCATAGATCTTTGGACAATTAATCTGCTTTTTATATTAGATTTTTTTTTTAAAAAAAAAACAAAACCAAAAATTTCAAATAAAATTAATCAAGTTTCGTTATGCTTATAATGATTCGCGTATTAATATTGTTTGTACAATGCTATATGCATAAGATCTTTTGGCAATGGTAGCATAAGATAAATATGACTATATATATATACATTTGTCAAATCTTTAATTTTTTACCAGAGATTTACGTATGGAAAAGTAGAATTTGATATAAAAAGATGCAAAACTGACTATCCATTATAACAACATAATATTTACATTCTAAATTAATCAAAGTTTGAACTATTGTTTCTTTTTGCGGCCACCACGTTTTGGAGCTCCACTTGATGTTGCAACGGCATCAGATGCTTTTCTTGATCTGCCAACACCAGTACGTTTCGCAGATGGTGTTTTGGCGGCCTCTATTGTGTCCGGCTTTCTCGCCGTACGAGTTCTTCGAGTTTTCTTGGTATCTGAAATAGTAATCGAGCAATGAAGTCAACAATGTTCGCTTAACTCTAAGTAGATTAAGGCGCTTACCTTCAGGTTCCAGCGAGGAATCGGGAGAAGAACGTGACGATGAGGGTGATGGTTCTTTACGCCCTTTCTGACTTCTCGATGGCGCAGGTGATGGTGATGGTCCGCGCGATGAACCTGCCTTACTATTTTCAATCATAAGGTTATAATATTCATCCATTGGCAGATTAAATTCTACGTATGCACTATCTTCATCTACTTCTTCATTGAATTCTCGGTCCTTTCAATACACGATAAAAAATAATAAATAAAAGGCGAATAAAAATAAATTGACATATGCATTGGTTATTTACTAATTCTTCAAGTTTGGACAGGTTAAAGTATGTTCCAAATCGTTCCCACAATTCCGGTATTGTGCACTTTACTGCGCTATTAGCATTAAAGTCGCGGTGGACGTTTACCATGTGGAAGTGACGATGAATTCCTTTAAATAAAGTTGGCACCTATATTAATCAGTTGTATTCAAGGATCATATGAAAAACTTGTAAACACTCACCGACTGGTCTATGTTTCATAATGGCACGAAAAAATTCTATCTCCATTTTCACGTCCCATTCTACGCTCGAAGTTTCCGATTTAAAATCATTACTAGATTGACCAAACGTTGAAGTCCCTTCAGCTATTGATGGATCCGTGTCCATAATCGCAGTGGATTTTATGTCATAAGTTGAACTTTCTTCTTTCATATTTGTGGGTTGAGTATTTACACGCAGGTAACGGGGAGAGACATTTTACTAGACTCTGTTGTTGCGGTACTTTAATCAGGTGACCATCCCAAATGCGTAAGACGATTTTTTTCCAAATTATGACGACGGTGTGAAAATCACCTGAATTTTGACTTTAAAGGTCAATGATAATTTAGTCCAATTACTATAAATGCCAACATCTCATTCTCTTTCTTTTTTGCAAATGAAATTTGTTTCTATGACGTGCGAAAAAAACTCACTTTGAGGAAACTTTGTGTCTTCCGAATTATATACACGTATTTGTACACGTACTTCCCCACGACGCGAACTTTCCACCAAATTCGCAAGTTCTTATACATTAACAATCATGCCTGAAATTCATTTTGCACCCTTGAATGTGCCGTTTGAAAGGCGACGACAAACCGCGGTTGTTTGGTTGTGGCTTGTTTCTTTACCTACCACCTTATTCATTTTTTTCATGTCCTGTACTATCGTCTTCTTGCTACCCTGGATTATTGCATATTTATTATTTTTGTTATTTGACATCGCACCTGAAAATGGTGGTCGGAGATTCTCTTTTGCTAGGGAGTCAAAGTTTTGGAAGTGGTACTCCGAATATTTTCCGATCTCATTAGTAAAGGTATGGTGAACTAGAGTTTGAACATGCTTCTTTTTTCATCTATTTCTTTTTTGCTATAACTCAACCTCACTTTGAATAATAGCGAGTGGATTTGGATCCATCCAAAAATTACATTTTCGGTTAGTATGACAGATTGGTCCCCGTGTTTATCTTATATTTAATTATGGATGATTTCTTTATCAGGGTATCATCCACATGGAGTTATTTCCGTTGGCGCATGGACGAACTTTGCCACGGAAGCAAATGACTTCTCCAAAAAATTTCCCGGCATAAATTGCCGTCTGTTAACTCTCACGTCAAATTTCAGTATCCCACTTTATCGTGATTATCTGATGGCACAAGGTCTCGCGTCCGTGTCACGTCAGTCGTGCGAAAACATTTTACACAAAGGACCAGGAAATTCTGTAATGATAGTAGTTGGCGGTGCTGGCGAAAGTTTAAATGCACGTCCAGGTGTATACGATTTGGTTTTGAAGAAAAGATTAGGATTTATAAAATTGGCAATTCGTAATGGGTAAGAAGAAAATTCTTATTTTCATCTTGATGTCATGTTTGCCTCAATTCACGCAAATTTATCATAGGGCCTGTTTATGCCCGGTGTTTTCTTTCGGTGAGAATGATATATGGGAACAGGCAGACAATCCGAAAGGAGGAAAGCTTTGGAAATTTCAAAAAACGGTGCAAAAATTGTCTGGTTGGACAATGCCTCTCTTTCACGGTCGCGGCCTATTCAATTGTGAGTTCACGTACGATTTATTTTCATACTTAAAAGAAAAAAAGGTAACACGTCATCGTCACATATAGATAATGTCGGAATTATGCCACATAGAAGACCCATAACCACAATTGGTAAGTTTAAATCATGTAAGATTCATTCAATACTCATTTATTGATAGCATTTTACCAATAATTAGTTGGAAGACCCATCGAAGTTGTAAAAAATGAAAATCCAACTGAAGAAGAGCTTCTCAAAGTACAGAAAAAATACATTGAGGAATTATATGATATCTGGAATACATATAAGGATACATATGCCAAGGATAGAGTAAAAGAGTTAACTCTTATTGAATAACTGTAACAGTAAAAAGCGATTTCACGGAAGAAATATTTTTTATTCATTAATATAATGTGTTTGTTATCTAAATGATATTGGATGGTCGCCATAATTTGCATTATAATTATCTTACTATAACTCAGAGATCACAAAAAAAATTATTCGAAGAATTTTCCAATGATTTTCCTTTGCCATCAATGTTACCAGATTCAACATCCATATTCGCGTCAGCGTTGTCATTTTCTCCATTACCGTCGTTACTGTCATCATCATCCTCGTACAGATGTCGGATATCCCATAATCTTACAGAATTATCGTGTGAACAACTTGCGAGCAATGCATTATCATGAGAGATCTGTATTTTCTCGATCGGAAAATCTCCATGATCTCCTATGACTCCGAGAAATTTATTGGGAAGAATTCCGATTACTCTGAGGTACAGAATAAAATAGCGGTTATGAAAAAAATTATTAGCCTACGGAAAATGCGTACGTGTTATAAACAACGAACATAAACAACGAACCTCACTATTCCATCGCTTGACCCTGTGCATATCATGTCTTCATTAATCTTAACAATAGTATCTATTGAACTAGGATGACCAATGAATCGGTCATTGCAATCTTCCCATTCACCCCATGAGAATAAGTTGAGGACTCCGCTCTGAGTTCCTGCAACAACTTTTCGGTTATCCTAAAAATTAAAAATATTTAATACTAATATACAATAATGGTAAAATCGAAGGTACGATAATGATTCGAACCTTTATAATAACAACGGACAATAATTCATCATCTTGATTATCCGACATGGCTATGAAGTTCGGTCTCCGTATATCATACACAGATAATGTTCCATCGCCACTATTTGTTAAGATATAGAGGAGATTTTCAGAAATAAAACTTCAGTGCGTGGACACAACAATAATATATACCTCGTTGCAATCAGATTCTTGGTTTCTGCCCGGAATGCAAAATCTGATATAAAATCTTGGTGATCAGAATATTCCATCAATTCACCACCAGTTCGCGTATCCCAAATCTATTATTTATAACCTGGTTATCGATGATGAGGCCAACGAAAATGAATCTATCATATAGGTTATTTACCTTTATGTAACCGTCGTCATCGCCCGTGGCCAATGCATTTTCATTGAGGCGTAATATACGGTTGATAGGTTTTCTAATGACCCAAAATATGCGTTTATCATTTTGATCTCGGTGATCTCGGAAATAATAACAAATGCTGATGATACTCACTCATGTGCACCCGATTTACTCACTAAAATTTCTCCTGTCTCTAGGTCAATCACTTGTATCGATTTGTCTTTTGAGACACTAAACAAAACTATAGGCACAATTAACAAGAGAACAAAAATAAAATAAATATTATTGTTAAATTCCGATACCTGTTCCATCATGATTAAATTCCAGACCACGACATGATTTCCGGTGTGGACGAATCGACAGAATGTTTTGATTTTCAGCATTAGCTTCAGTTGCATATCGATGACTATGTAAAAGTATTTCGAAACTTTATCTGAGAATGGAAATAAATAACTTTTGAAATACTGCTCATACCAAAAAACCTCGCCGGTGATTAAGCCGGTAGCAATGATATTTTGGTGAGGGTGGAATGCCAAATCAAATACGAGATTCTCGAATGTCAATGGGTCTGGCTGTAAAATTTGGGCTTGAGTCTAGAATGCATTTAACATCGAAGATGTTAATAAAATCATCCAATCTTCCTGTTGGTCCTCCGTGGACTAATTTCGTATTAATATTGGATATAAAAACTTCTACCATTATGAATTCGCGTTTTACCTGACAATCGGTAAAAAGTTAGAAAATCAGTTGATAAATCTAAAAAACTGATGGTACATCTTTTATATAAAATTTTAATTTGTCAATTACAAAAAAAAATTCATAATTTTTTAAATAAATTTTTTTAAAAATTTTTTTTTTGATAAAGGTTTTTTTTTTTTTTTTACAAGTATTAGATGTAATTTTTTTTCTATGAAAATATTTTTGTTATAAACTTTTTAGATATCAAAAGCTTTTTTTTATTAATTTTTTCATCAATTCAAAAAACAAATGATTTTTCAATTATTAAAACAAGTAATAATAATAATAATACGTAATAATTTTTTTTAAAAAACAATATCTTTCTTATTTATTTTTTAATTAAATTCAAAAAAAAAAAATCATTTAAAAAAAACCAATAAAATTATATATATATTATTAATCATAAATTTTATTAGATTTTTTGATTTATTTTCTAAATAAAAAAATATTATTTCTTTATTATTTATATTTTATAATTCAAATAATTCAAATAAAATCAATATTAATATTTGATTATTTATTAATAGAGTTTTTAATATTACTTTAATACTAGTTCAATATCAGTTCAATACTTATATTTACTATAGATTAATATTCTTTTGATACTATTTTAATATTAGCTTAATATTTTTTAAAATCCTATTTATTAATAATTATTTTAAATTAATTTAAATTTTTATTATACTATATATTATATTTCTTGTATTATATAATATAAAAAATATAATTTGAAATAGTAAATTTCAAATATTTAATTCTTTTGAAAACTTACTTATATTACTTATATTATCTTTTTTTTTTTAATTAACTAGTAGATCCTGTCTTGTATATATTTTTTATTTAATTTATATATATATATTTTATATTAGATTATATTGATTTTTTTTAATCTTTATATTGACTTATTATTATTAATTCTATTTTGGAAACTTGAACTAATTAGATATTAAATTATATCAAAATATTAATATTATTATTATTATTATTTTGCCTCTAATCAAATTACAATTTGCTATATTTATTAATATAAAAATAAAACAATAATATATTAAACCCTAAGGCTTTATACTAGAATTAAACTATATATCCCTTAAATCGTAGGGCATTTTTTTTATAACGTTTAAAATTTTTTAACTAAAAAGTTGTTTTTCATTTATTTTTTTAAAGAATCAAAATATTTTTCTAAAAATTTATATAATATTGGTTTTAATTATATATTATCT